CAGGGAAACATGTCGCTTACTGATTACGAGAGACGGTTTGAGCAACTCTCTAGATATGTCCCACACTGGGTAGATACCGAAGTTAAGAAGATCAGGAGGTTCGAAAATGGACTATGCCCAGAGATCGGCATGATCATCATGTCTCATCGTTTCACTTCATATCGTGAAATATTGGAGAGAGCTCATGCTATTTCATATCGAAGGACTACATTTGAGCAGTAGCCTAGCATGGCAAGGAGTCATTGGGAAAGAGAAAGTGGAATGATCAAAACAAGGATAGACGTAACTAGAAAAATAAAATACCAAGTAGAGGAGTTTTTATCGGTGGGACGAGTGAGAGTATTACACCTCGTTCTAAATGTATTAAACTCCACTTGGGTGAATGCTTGCTTGGGAAGAACATGTGTTTTCGATGTGGTAAGACGGGACATATTGCTATAAACTGTACTAAGCCTCCAAATAAGAAGGATGATAATCAGGACAAGAACAAGAAAGGAAAGGCAGGAGTTTTTGTACTAAATCAGCTAGAATTCGATGTCACGAGAAAGAAGTGTTGTTTCAAAAAAAGGGAAAGAAAAATTTTCATTTCTTTGGAGCAAGGTTCAAGTCTCTACCTTGAATTGTATCTGCTTTACAAGTGGAGAAAATGCTGAGAAATGAGTTATGCCAGGGATTCTTAGTTAATATCATCGGTTCCACACATACAGAAACAATCGTTAATGATAATAACATTGTCCAAGACTTTACAAACGTATTTCCAAAAGATTTTCCAGGTATTCCACAATTTACAATTGACTTGGTTCCCGACGCGACACCAATTTCTAAGGCCCCGTACAGAATGGCACCAAAAGAACTTCAAGAATTGAAGTTACAATTGGAGGAGTTGCTGGAAATATGTTTCATTCGACTGAGTGTATCTCAATGGGGTGCTCCAATACTTTTTGTGAAGAAGAAAGATGGGAGTATGGGAATGTATATTGACTATCGAGAGTTGAACCATCTGCCTATCAAAAATAGATACATGCTTCCAAGAATATAAGATTTATTCCACCAGTTAAGGGGTGCAACGGTGTTTTCAAAGATCGACTTGAGGTCGGGGTATTGTCAGATGAAGGTTAAGGTAAGTGACATACCCGCTTCCAAGAATGTAAGATTTATTCCACCAATTTAGGGGTGCAACAGTTTTTTCAAAGATCGACTTGAGTTCGGGGTATTACCATCTGCCATCAAAAATAGATACCCGCTTCCAAGAATATAAAATTTAATCCACCAGTTAAGGGGTGAAACGGTGTTTTTAAAGATCGACTTGAAGTCGAGGTATTATCAACTCAAGGTTAAGGTAAGTGATATACCGAAAACTGGTTTCAGGACTCGTTACAGATATTATGAATTCACTGTCATGCCCTTTGGTTTGACCAATGCTCCAACTGTATTTATGGATCTAATGAAGCACGTGTTCCATTAGTACTTAGATCAGTTCATCTTAGTATTTATTGAAGACATACTCGTGTACTCTAAAGAAAAGAAGTAGCATAAGGAACAACTTTGAGTAATACTCGAAACTTTGAGGAAAGAAAAATTATTTGCCAAATTAAAGAAGTGAGAATTTTGGCTCGATCAAGTGGGTTTCCTTGGTTACATGGTTATCGCCCAGGGTATAGAAGTAGACCCAGTTACAGTGGAAGTAGTAACAAATTGGCGTAGACCGACCAGTGTAGGTGAAGTTCGCAATTTCTCGGGGTTGGTTGGCTTCTATAAAAGATTTATTAAAGGGTTTCTCAAAAATAGCAAGTACGATGACTCAGTTGACTAGAAAAGGGGTGAAGTTTCAGTGGACGAAAAAGTGTGAAAAATGTTTTTAGGAACTCAAGCAGAGATTAATTTTGGTTCATGTATTGACGATACCTGAAGGGTCAGATGGGTTTGTAATTTATAACAACGCCTCCA